ATGCTGACTGTAAACCGCTTAGAGAGGGGTGAAAGCCCTATGAAGCGGTATATAAGTCTAACTGCTATTGCTATTGCTATTTATTTATTAGTTTTGTATGCCGCCCAATCTCGAAAGACTCAAATTTAAGTCCTTTTCTCACCAAAAGCACATGCACAGATGGCTGTGCGGAGGTGGCATGTGCGAGCAAAGTGAGCATGTGTGCAAATTGGTAGGGAAGGTAAGTGAATACCACCCCTGCCTTTACCATATATTAATTGGTGGTATTAAAGACTTACTTAGTTAGGTTTATGGTGGTTATTAACCATCACAAGGTATTAAAGACTAAATATTGTCCTTTTGGTTTGAAGAAACCATGATTGTCTGTCAGACAATTTTTCCCCATTCTTAGTTGTTACTCAGTAACCTAAGATCGCGGGGGGAGGGGGGATGTAGCTCTGTTTAATTGATTTGCAGATTGCACTGCACAGATAGTACATATACTGCATCTATATCCATGCCAATTTAAAAAAACAATACCAATACCATCATTTAGCTGTTGAGCAGTAATGGCGCAGTGCTTAGAATGCAGTATTGCAGGCTAACTCTGCCCACAGCCAAGAGTTCAATCTTGACAGGGGCACAAGGTTGACTCAGCCTTCCATCCTTCCAAGGTCGATAAAATGAGGACCCAGATTATTGGGGAAAATATGCTGACTCTATAAAGCATTTAGAGACTGCTATATAAAGCACGATGAAGGGATATATAAGTCCAAATGCGATTGCTATTTAAATAATTTCAGGACCTAATTCCCTTTGTTTATGTGCTTCTAGTAATAGAAAAAAAATGTATTCTAAGAAGTCTTGTGTGGGATTCAGTCATTTGAAATAAGAGCTTGTCCCTCTTGTGGTTGAGACACCTACCTAGTACTGTGTGGGCTTAGGCCACAGAAATCCTCCAGGTATTGGAAGAAAACATTATTGTGCAACATTAGTCTCACGGAATTAGCCAGAGTGGTACAATGTCTTGGGTTTGGCCATTCCAGGGGAGGGTTTCAACCGGTTCACGGCGGTCCCTGTGAACCGGTTGGTCGGCGAACCCGGAAGTAAGTAACTTCCGGGAACGGCGAAGGGCTCACCAGCCCGCCCGCACTCCTTACCCGGTTTTGACGGGTTCTGCGCTTCCACGCATGCGCAGGACGCATACAGNCAACTTCTGCTAAAGGAAGATTAGATTGGGATGGGGGTGGGTAAACCCACTTTTCTGCCTCCAGTTCTATATTCTCCACTTTCTAAGAAACATTCCCATTTTAAATATTAATTATTTGAGAAACAATTAGATGCAGGTACATACAGCCAATTGTGTAGTTGTATTAAAAACTAAAAGAAGTTGCAAATGAAACTGAATTGATAAAAATGACTTCCATGCATACACATAAAAGGTATATGTTAGTTAGTTTCAGCTGAAAGGAAATGGATTTTCATGACTTTTAAAAACAGCAGAAGACTTGCTGAGGGAATGGAATATAGTCAATATTTGCAGACATGCCATGGATTAGATTCAGACTTGTCTGTGAAACCATTCATGAATTGCTCTTCTGTATATATTGAGAGAAATGGACTACATTTCTGTTCGCAAGAATGCTCTGGGAGGCCATCAGAAATAAAATAAAGTAAAAAAATAAAATCTAACTCTTAAAAATATAAAATAAAGTAATGCACAATTATAAAACCCAAAATATAAAATGTCAAGGTGAATTCCCTCACTTATAAAACATTAAAAAGTAAGAATACCATGAAAGTGTAACAAAATAGAGACTACTTTGTCCTCTGTTGAGAAAAGACTTCTACAAAGGGATGCATGGGGAAATTTTCATAGAGAGGTCTGTCCTCAAGCTCACATCACCCAGGAATGTCATAAAGTGAGTGTGTGTTGCAAAAGTAGGAGGTGATTAAGGCATGAGTCATATGAGCAAGACCGCTCAGTTCAGGAATAGGCGCAGGTTCAGAAATAGGCACAGTTGGTGCACAAGCTGAATCTGCACAAACACACACACAGACACACACACACACACAGCTACAGACCCCCATCCTCTTCAAGCAGGAGTTGTGAGTCCAGGAGGCTCCTCAAATTATGCACTGAGTCTGAATGGCAGAGATAGAGTGAATAGAGCCACAGATGGTCAGTGGGGTGGACAGCTGGAAAAATGTTACAAAGAAAAGAGCAGAAGGAATCTCCCATCGTTCTGCAAAACTACAAATCTCTATCCATATCCAAGAATACTTGCAGAAGATTTTATAGTAATGCAGTGATAAATGTGCTCTTGGACCAGCATCTGAGCCAGTAGATACATCTCAGTTAGATTTAAAAAGCTGGCAATTAATTCACTTTAACTTTAGTCTAAGCAGCCCTTCTATGCTCATTACTGCTAGTATATAACATTCTTTAACTTCTTCCCCAAATTAGAAAGCTGTTGTTTGGTTTTTATCCATGCAGCAGGAAAATCAATAATCTTAGCTTTATCTGAAACAACTTTTGAGACGGACATTGAATTCTCAGAGATGCTTAGGAATGACGCACGTCCAGTACATCTCTGACTTTGTTTGATGCATTCCCAGAGGATTCAGAAGGAAAGGGTACAAAAGACTAAGGACAGACTTTGCTATTAAGTCAGGGCTTTTCCTTCATTGAACCTATTTGTAATGCCAATTGATTCACCAAGGGCTTTCACTCATAATTTTCTCCCTTTCTAGCAGAGGGAGAAAAAAAGAAAGGGAGAGATGGACCTATCATGTCAAATATCATTTAGTCCATTCCCAAAGCCGCCCCTCCAAAGGATGAAAACAGACTTCCCAACCCTATTCCAGATGTGTTGCTAAATTTCATTTCCCAACCCAAATGAAATTTAAAGAAGTCGACGTCCATTATGAGCCAGCAGTGTGTAGCAGCTGCCAAAAAAGCCAGCACAGTTCTAGGCTGCATATACAGAGGGATGGACTCAAGATCGCATGAAATGTTAATACCACTTTATAAGGCCTTGGTAAGGCCACACTTGGAATTCTGCATTCAATTTTTGTCTCCACGGTGTAAGAAAGATGTGGAGACTCTAGAAAGAGTGCAGAGAAGAGCAACAAAGATGATTAGGGGACTGGAGACTAAAACATATGAAGAACAGTTGCAGGAACTGGGTATGTCTTTAATGAAAAGAAGGACTAGGGGAGACATCAGAGGTGGGTTGTTCTCGNCCCCACCCAGCCCAGTTGCCAAGTTCCAAAGGTTGGGGACTGTTGCAGTAGAAGTAAGCAATTTTCTGTTTAAATAAGGAATTCCAAGAAACATAGGTAGCTATAACTACCTTGAACTTGGCATGCTTTCAGAACCTTCAGCTGATGCATTATTTCTTCCTCACTTGCTTGGACCAAATCCAAGAAGTCTTCTGTTGTATACTACAGAAAGTAAAACAAAACATACATGAGTTCCTTAAGTCTGAATGCTATTCTGAGTGCCTTGGAATTGCTTTATAAAGAAAAGTTTAAAACTGTACTTGTGTATTTAATCATGAGCATTTTATTTTCATAGCTTTCACTGACTAGGAAGTATGAAATTGGAAGCTGAATGAGACTTTCATAAGCCTACATTTATTTCAAGAATCTGAAATTTTGTTGGATTAAGCACTGACTCAGGAATTTTGCCATATGCTGAGACCTGTGCTGGAATATTTCAGGACTTTTAACAGATGAATCAAATGCTACCCACTTTGCTACTTAAAACAGAACCAAAATGTAATTTTAAAAAAGTAATGAAAACCCTATCGGATTTTAAAGGCACAAAAGGGATAGAGTCAATTTTTGTTCACTTTGTTTTGGAAGGACAGAAACTGTAAGCCACCCAGAGTCACTTGAATAGTGAGATGGGCAGCATATAAATTTAATAAATAAAATAAATAATAGTTATGCACTTCGGAAACTGCCAGAGGAAAAAATATTACCTCACTGATAATTACTATCTCAGCCCATAATAACCGGGATCCCAGAGACATAGATTAGAATTAATTGGTGAGTGGGAAGTTATATTTACCCTACACACCAAGCTAAAAAGTTTAGGTAATTAATACATGAACACATGGCTAACCTACTCACTTTTTACAATGGGCCATATGGGGAAATAATACAAACATGTGTTCCAGGGAACCTAATATGGGTTAGGACTCTCTAATTGCAATTCATGCTTTGCTTAATTTTTATTCTTGCACAAAGTTTATGTCTTTTTATTAAAAACTCCATCTTGTTTTGGGTCATGAGAACTTTTTCACCCATCTATCATCTTCCTTATCTTATAAAATGATTACCTTTGAGTTTGCATCAATTCTCTCTTTTTCACTATCTGGACCTTCATAAGGATTTTCCAATAGAAGTTTCTTGAGTTTCTTCAATTTAGGCCGGCATCTTTTTAGTTCCCAAAAATGATTGGAGAACCCTGCAATCTACAACAAGAACTGTCATCGGAACTGCCAGACTAATCTGTAAAGTTGGCAGTTGCAGGTATAACTGCATCCACCAGCAGCAGCAAAGTATGAACATAGCATAACGCCCCTGAGTTTGGCATGTTAAATGACTGTCTTTGTGAACCGTGTTTCTCAATTTTAGCAGTTCGAAGATGTGTGGACTTCAACTCCCAGAATTCCTCAGCCAGAACACTGGAGTTGAAACCCACACCTCTTCAAGCTGCCATGGTTGAGAAAAATTGCTTTAGAACTTCAGACCTTTGGGTATATTTGCTCCACTTTCATTGAATTCATCTTGCTCTTTTAACATAAGAAGATTCAATTGTCATTGTGGACTTTCAGAAATTTTGGACATCATATTATTCCTGGATATAGTGAGTTGCAATCCAACCATATCTAAAGTACCACCCATCTTCCCTCCCACTCCACACAAAAATTTTAAACAAAAATTTGCTTTTATTTCTCCTCAGCTGCTGTCTTAAATACCAATGCATGCCAAGATCTATTAATTGAGGAAAAAACCAGAACAAGCAATCAAGCAATCTGTACCTTGCTTTTTCCAAGTGTATCCAAAATATGTGATGTCCAAAAGAAATAAAAAATTATGTTTGTGTCTGTGTTATAATTTTACTATTTAAACCAGTGGCATTTAGAGATTTAACTTATTTTTATTGCACTTTCCTGGAGAAATAACTGCTAGAGTCACAGAATCATGGAGCCATACAGGGGGGGAAAGGATGTTTCATCTGGTTCAGTCGTTTGCCCATCATTCTATCAAATACCACATTCCTGCTAAATCAAGGATATGCCCTCATAGAAATTACTGAGTACCATATTCAATCAGCTGCTATATGCTCTCAAATCCAACACCCTTCTCATAGATATGCCTATTTTAAATAATTATCCTACACATTATATGTCTAAGTACTAAAATATTTATTGCATCTCTTGGCCACAAAATGCTCTGACTTAATTCATTGGATAAACTAAGCTTCTCTCCCATCCACAAATCTGAAGTCCTAGGAAAAGGATTAAAAGTGACTTTTTTTTTTAAAGGAAGGAGAATGACTTTTCAAAGATCTTAACTTGCTCTGGAGGATCTTCAGGCACACAATACCTCAGGATGGAGTATATTAGTGGTAGGCTTGCCTGCACGAAGCTGCTCTGGCGTTTCACCGGAAGGAATAAAAAGCAACATATTGGAAGTATCTGCTATTTTCATGTCGTAAGTCTTATCCTTACTACATATCACAGCATGTTCATTTTTCTCTCCACGGATCACCAGGCTGCAAGATCAAACAAATGCCAGGTTCAAACTACAATGTGTTGACCATAAGGTTTAAATATATGTAGTAATAAATAAAGATAGGAGGCTGATACATCTGAAAAGGTCCAATTTCTCCTAGTATCCCAGGTATGTTGTATCATTATGCTCAGTCAAGGAAGGAAACACAGAAACAGGCTATACTTAATGCAGTGTTTCTCTTGGCAAATTTAAGATGAATGGACTTCAACTCCCAGAATCCCCCAAATTTGAGCAACACATCTGGAGCATACAGATGCGGACAATGCAATTCTTTTATTGCAAGGATCTCCAAACTTGGCAACTTTAAGAGTTGTGGACTTCAACTCCCAGAATCCCCCAAATTTGAGCAACACATCTGGAGTATACAGATGCGGACAATGCAATTCTTTTATTGCAAGGATCTCCAAACTTGGCAACTTTAAGAGTTGTGGACTTCAACTCCCAGAATTCCCCAGCCAGTTTGGGGAATTTGGAGAACCCTGCTTTATTGAATTAGATCAGCTGATCCTCCCAGGCGCTAGGTGTCGCTGTAGAGTCGCCAGCCGCACGCTTTACCGCAAGGGGGGCCCTGCCGAGCATGCGCGTACCTTCGCCCCGCCTCCAACTCCTGACACAACTCCGGCTCCAGTTGCAGAAGACAGTAATCGCCGGTATCGATCCGCGGACTGAAACTGAGGCACTGTACCGTTGGAAGCAGCTCCGCCGGGTTTAGTTTAGCGACTTGCAGCGTCGCATCGACCTCCTCGCGGCGTCGCATATCCTCGGGGGCTTTTTCGCTCCTCGGAGTTTCACGGGCGTCTCTGACAGGAGAAGGGGACGGCCTCTCTTCCGAAAGCGCGCCAAAATCACGTCGTCACAGTGATGCAAAGGGGGCGGAGCTTACATTGCTCAGAGGCCCAATCCGAAAGGGAGAGGGTGGGGCTAATCACCCCGCCACAAAAACAGCCGTTGAGACTGAGAAGAGCCAGAAGGAGGATCAGCGGGCTGGAGGGAGAAGCACGTAGATAACCGTTGCTGGATATATCTAGTTTAATGAAAAGGAGGACTAGGGACGACATGATAGCAGCCTTTCAATATTTGAAGGGCTGCCACAAAAGAAGAGGGAGTCGAGCTATTCTCCAAAGCACTTGAAGGCAGGACAAGAAACAATGGAAACTGAAAACTGATCAAGGAGAAAAGCAACATAAATAGAATAGGAACTAGGAAAAGAATGGAAAAGATAGGATGGAATAGGAATAGAATAGGAACTGGGAATAGGATAGGATGGAATAGCAAGAAGCAATGGGTGGAAACTAATCAAGGAGAGAAGCAACATAAATTCCTAGCAACATCCTAGGAATTAGGAATAGAATGGAATAGAATAGGAATTAGGAATAGGACAGGATGCAATACAATACAATACAATAGCAGAGTTGGAAGGGACCTTGGAGGTCTTCTAGTCCAACCCCCTGCCTAGGCAGGAAACCCTATACCGTTTCAGACAGATGGCTATCCAACATCTTCTTAAAGACTTCCAGTGTTGGGGCATTCACAACTTCTGGAGGCAAGCTGTTCCACTGATTAATTGTTCTAACTGTCAGGAAATTTCCTGACTAGAATATGAATAGGATATGAATTTTATTGTCATTTTGAATGTACACTAATCTGCATATATTAAAATGAAATTTCATTGCATATAGCTCTCAAAGAGTCACCATCTGCAATATACACAACATGAGCATGACAAAATTAAAAAAATAAAAAGTTATGTATGTACCCACATGTTATATGACACAGAAACAACACAGTCTAGTTAGGATGTATAAGAGAGAAACGAACATAGGGTATTTTGAAACCTCCCAGAGGAGTAGAGTTCCCTGCCTGGGTTCCCTGCTTGGGCAGGGGTTGGATTAGATCATGGGTGTCATGCTCAGTATGGCACGTTGCTGGTGCGTGGCTTTTTGTGGTGTTTTTCCCCTTTATGGAGCTGAGCTGGGGGTGGCCTACGCATGACACATCTGGCCCGCAGGCTGCCAGTTTGATACCCCTGGACTAGACCTCCAAGGTCCCTTTTAACTGATAAACATAATGTAATGCTTTATTATTGCTGCATTTTTGTTACTTTTGAGGAAGAAAAAGACAACAGGTGGCAAAAAAGAAAATACATAAAAAACAGGTTTTTTACAAGCATCATTCAATGAAACAGGACCAAATTTGTTGCATAAGTATTTTCAATATTTCATTAGTTTGAACTGAATATCTTAATTGCTGGAAGTCATTGCTAAATCCAGGTAGTATATAATTATCAAAAGCATTACCGGTATGTTAAAAGAGTTAATTTCTGACTTAACAGCGAAATGTTTTTTTTAAAAAATGGGCTCTTTTAAAAAGTAATAGTCCATCCCTAATGAAAAAATATAGGTCTCATGCTTATCAGGATTCTAAACCCTGGAAGGAAGAGGGAAAAAGCCAACCTCATTTGGTTATCTTTAAATAAAGACTAGGATTCATTTTGAATACCAAGACGGCTATTTGAGTAATATACAGGAACCACAAGGTTTCCCAACTCATTCAGATGGTTTCCCTCATAATGCACAAATATAAAAGCAAAGATTTATTGATTAATATTGCAATAATCTATGCATTAATTGTGAAAATTTGGGATTGCAATGATTTAATCTTACCAAATGTACTCCGTATAGTCTTCACTGCAGATAACATTCCTTTTAGCGGAATTTCCCACATTTTACATAGGATTCCTTTGTAAAAGGATTCCTAATCCTTCCAAATGTTTTTAAAGCCATAGTGAGAAAACTAATTGAATGGGTGAATAATTTCCAAGCAGCTGAACCAATGAGGGAGGAATGCTGGCACTTGTAGTTCAGCTGCATATCTGAAGGGCATGGACTCCCAAGTCCTGGTTTGAGGATGCAGCTCCTTGACTCTTCAGCCACCCATTATAATACAATTATTTTACATTCCACTACGTATTTAATTCTATGTTCCAGAATACCACATGGGGGCAGATTGCTATAACATATGAATAACTTTGCTGGGTAAGAAAAACTATAATGAAAATACGGTGTACTCTCCAAGAGTACAGAAATCAGGATGATCACTTAGAGAAAAGTAAAGAGTGCCTTGTGTATCTCTTTCCTGACATCTAATAGTGATCTGAAATTTTGCAGCCTAAATCTGTTAGCCCTAATGAAAATAAAGGTAGTCCTCAATTTATAACAATTCATTTAGTGACTGTTCAAAGTTACAAGGGCATTGAAAAAAGTGACATGACTATTTTTCACACGACTTGCAGCATCTCCATGATCACATGACTTACATTCTGATGCTTGACAACTGATTTATATTTATGACGGTCGCAGCATCCCGGGGTCATGTGATCATCTTTTGCGACCTTCTGACAAGCAAAGTCAATGGGGAAGCCAGATTCACTTAACAACTGTGACTAATTTAACAACTGCTCTGATTCACTTAAATGTGGCAACAAAAGTGGCAGAATGGGGGAAAAATTCACTTAAAAAATTTCTCACTAATCAACATCTATCCTGGGCTAAATTGTGATCATAAGTTGAGGATTACCTGTATAAGATAATTGAAGGTGGAGATTTCAGTTGCATTGCTCTAGCTTCCTGTTGTCCAGCTGCTAGCTGTTTTGTGTTGTTGAAAAAAATCCAGGATGTTTAATAACTGGTGCATTCTTCAAAGTATAACACACGGGCCATGTTTGGCATAATGGGCTTAATTACACTTAAGCAGATATCCTTGTTTTGCCCAACATGCTGAGTTACAATCTGTCCAACTCTATTTTAATCTAGCATGTTGTAGAAAGCGGAACATATGATTAGTTTATAGTTCAGTGTACTGTGGAAATCCCCACAAATGAATCAAATAAAATATGACAATTAACTATGGATAATGAATTACGCAAGGTCTGAACTCGGAGTTATACTTCAGTGGGGAGTTAGAGATATATATGGTAAGAGTTGAACATATGCCAATCCCATTAAAAAAAACATTAGTATTCGCAACTAAATTAATACTATTATGGAAGCAATTTGTGAAGTTATGATTTTACTATCATAGTTTAAAATGCACAAATTATATCTAATATTTAAAATACTGTATTGACAATTTTATTTTGCTTCTAACAAGTTATCCTATCCCAAACAAGCCTAGGAACTTTTAGATAAGACTAAAAAAAGGAACTCTTTTTATTAGAGAAGAATGGGGGGGGGGGAGAACTGGAACACCCTTTAATTTGTTCTGCTTTTCTCAGCTTGAGGAAACAAATATTTTTAACAAATAAAAAAAAATTCTCCTGGAGCCTTTATTGCCTTTTCAAAAAAGAAACCCATTTTCAACTGCAAAGTCCTGGCAATTCTCCCTCTCATTACAGCCTCTTTTAGGACTCAGTTTATGATATCTTGTCTTAGAGAGCAAAATATGCAGAAGTGTGTATATTTGTAAATTATATCCCTGCCTTGGGGTGGTTAAAAGCTCATGAAAATATCAAGGCTATTTGGCTGATATAAGGAGCAGAATGCCACATTAACCAGAAAATATATACTAGTCCCAATCCCTTTTCTTGGCTGATATTTATCTTCTAAATTAAAAAAAAAAGTATGTCTCCCTTGGGATTAGAATTACCCTGTGTGCTATGGGAGAAGAATTAAGATTTATTAAATAGAATGCTAGAAAATAAAATAAAAAGGGGACTCCTTACTTTATATCTGGAGGCCAAAAGGAGAAATTAAGAACAGTAATCCTCTTATAAGAGAATTTCCATTGCTAAGCAATAGAATTGATAAGTGAGTTACACTTAGGGTAATATGATCATTTCCCCCCACAGTTGTTTCAATCAATCAGAATAGAACTAGGAGGGACGTTGGAGGTCTTCTAATCCAGCCCCCTGTTCAAGCAGGAGACCCTATACCATTTTAGATAGGTGTCTGTCCAGTCTTTCTTGAACAATCTCCAGTGGTGAAGCACGCACAACTTCTGAGGGCAAGCATTTCCACTGGTTAAATGCCCTCACAGTTAAGAAGTTTCTCCTTAATTCCTTGTTGCTTTTCTCTTTGATTAATTTCCATTCATTGTTTCTTTTCTTGCCTTCTGGTGCTTTGGAAAATAAGTTGCCCTCCCTCTTCTTTGTGGAGCCCTTCAATACTGGAATACTGCTATCATGTCACCCCTAGTCCTTACTTTCTCTAGACTGGCCATATCCAATTCCTGCAATCCTTCTTCATATGTTTTAGTTTATGACCTTTAATCATCTTAGTTGCTCTTCTTTGCACTTTTTCCAAAGCTTCAGCATCTTTTTTTGTACTGTGGTGACCAAAACTGGATACAGTATTCCAGGTGTTGGGGAAAACACATGGTCGTTAAACAATCCAGTTTCCATGATTGACTTTGCTTATTGGAAACTTCCTGGGAAGGTCACCAATAGCAGTCACATGACCCTGGTATGCTGCGATTGTCATAAATAGATGCCATTGCCAAGCACCCAAATCTTGATTACATGACCATGGGGTGCTATGATAGTTGCAAGTGTGAGGGCCAGTTGTGTTTCCCTTTTTTTCAGCGCTGATATAACTGGTTGGTAAATGAATGGTTTTAAGTCGAGGACTACCTGTACTAGGAGAGTTAATTCTCCATTTGGGTTTGACTGACATGTTTAACTATAGAAGGCCAATTTGGTGTAATGATTAAGATGCTGGCCTAGAAACCAGGAGACTGTGAGTTCTAGTCCTACCTTAGGCACAAAAGCCAGTTATATGACTTGAGGAAAATAGGAGGAGGTAGGTTTTTATCTTGAGTTACTTATCTAT